TAACTCAGCCACACTCAGCTCCTCTGTTAACTCAGCCACACTCAGCTCCTCTGCTAACTCAGCCACACTCAGCTCCTCTGTTAACTCAGCCACACTCAGCTCCTCTGCTAACTCAGCCACACTCAGCTCCTCTGTTAACTCAGCCACACTCAGCTCCTCTCTTAACTCAGTGCATACTTGAAGATCTTCATGGCCCAGGATATTATACATGAAAACACACCCCCAGTTTAAGGAACTCTTATGTCAGGGATATATTTTGTGAACATAAAATTGTGAGAGGATTTGGGAATGAAAACATCTCCTACTTTCTCTTTTTATTGGAAGTCCTTATATTCTGTCAAAACCTACTAATATACTATCATAAATCAGGATAATTCATTAATTTGTACAAAATTAATTTTACTACTTCAAAGCTCATCGCTACTTAGCACGGTAGTAAATTGTATTTATTTGGTAGGGACGAAAAAATAATCAGTATACCTACAGAACCATCTCATATTCATGCAATGTGGTTCTTGTAAAGAGCTCGACATGCCTTATCAACATTATTACTATAACACATTGCTCTAAGCACTCAACTGACAAGTTGTTTTCCTGACTTTCACATAGAGAAATGAGGTTCAAAGGAATTATGTGACTTGTTCAATGTCCTGTAGGGAATAAAAAATAAGCCAAGAGCAATCCAGATTCTTACTAGAACATTCTGCCCTCCCAGCACTCAATGGCAGAAGGCCAGGTATCCTCGTCCTTACCTGAGGGTTTGACAAGAACGGCCAGGAAGTCTGTGGTGAGAGAACTGACGTACAGGAGAATGCAGGGCGCCTTGGTGGTACTGAAGCTGAAGCGGATCTCCTCGTGGGCCAGGTCTGGGGGTCCGTTCTGCTGCTCAGGAGAGTTCTCTGTTCTGCTCGAGTCTTTGGCATTGACTGTTGGTGCCTGGAAATTGTACCTTAGCCACATCCCCTCTTCAAAAAATGCACCCACATCTGTGGAGAAAGAAAGAGAAAACTGAAAAATGAGGAAAGGTCTGATGCTGATTGGGAAGACTGCTGATTGTATAATGGCCTCTGAAGCAGTTTGCTGAGGGCAGGCACTTGCTGTAGGAAGGGGATCCGATGGTAAATATCTGTGTGATTGGATGTTATTCTGTCAACACAAACAGCTCATTTTTAGGTTGAAGAAATGTTTTTTTTTTTTTTTTTTGAGAGGTTTTTGCCATAGGGTGCCTGCACTCGCCAGACAGACAGAGAGAGACAGAGAGACAGAAAGCGAGAAATCACCCCCCAGGGAGGATGGCCATGCCGCAATCCCTTCTTCTCCATTCTCCTTTTGGCATTTTGGGCACGCACGCACATGCGCCCGGCATGAGTTTTAAGCCACTGGGTCCGGGATACGAACTGCAGTCGACTACATGGCAATCCAGTGACATAGCCATTATGCTAACTGCTGGTTCCGAAGAAATAGTTTTATAACACCAACTTTTGCAAATGTGTGTGTGTGTTGGTTTTCAACATGACTAATGGTGTCCTCATGGCCTTTAGAGACATACCTCTTCAACCTAAAAAGGAGTTGTTTTGTCTGAGTACTTTACATGACATTTTCTTCTGGTATATTTAAGTTTTAATTTTTACTAATTTTTTTTTAAGTTAGAAGATTTCCATACTCGATTGCATGCATTTTGTTGATAGAGCTGTGATAGAGCTGCTGTCTGCCTTGCCAGAGAGTGAAGATGAAGGAAACACAGATATGCCCGCAAGGAGATATCCACTTAGCGGTGGGGTGGGAGGAGACACACCACACTGGAGCTCAACCCAAGGAGTGTTCGAGCAGTTTACTCAGCAGGGAACCTTATCTCATTGCCTGACTGTCCTGAGCGAGCGTTCCCATTCTTCCAGCAAGCATCTAGTGAGCACCGACTATGTGCTGGGCACGCTGGGCACTGAGGGTAAGTCTTTCCTCTCAGGCCAGGTCTAGAGATGGGCTTAGACAAAAAGATCGACTATTAGGATACAGAGCAACAGGTGCAGGATCAGGTATTCACAGGGGCCTTTGGAACACAGTGGGTACCAGTGCTGTCTCTGGGGACTAAGGAGGACTTCCTGTGGGACAAGACATTTAAGCTGTGGCCCAGAGAACCAGAGTGACTAACCACGCACAGGTGGAGGAGATGAAGGCACTCCTCCTCTCAGTGAGAGCCACCGGCCGAGGCATCTCCCTCCTAGACCACTGTCAAGGGCTCCTCACTGCCCATTGTTAGTCCAAGACTCTGAAGCTCACACTCTGTTCCTGGCTGGTGCTGAGGATACAGTAAGACGGTAAGACGGGGCAATCCTGGCCTTTAGTGGTCCAGAGTTTGGGGGAAGAGACAGACAGCCGTAGGACAGGCCACTGGAAACATGTCTAATAGGTGCAGGCAGGAGGGGAACAGGCAGACTGGGTCACTTGGGGAAAACACACTAAGGTTCGCTTTGCTACAGAGGAGTTCTACCAGGGAAGTAAGAGTCATTGCCCAAAAACGAGTTCAGGCTGCTCGGGGAGGAGACACAGATCTGGAGTTTGGAGAACGGGTGGGAGGAAGCCCAGGGTTTTCAGACCTATCAGACAGGGCAGACTGGAAGTATGTGCAGTAAAAGACAGACATACCAGGCATTCAAAACTCAAGAATGAGAAGCACAGACCCCGGACCTCGGGAGGCACCTGGGAGGCAGAGCTGTGAAGGCCGCTGAAGCCACGGCCTCGCTCCCGCTTTCCCCTCACCCTCCCAGTCACAGGTGCAGCACTATCAGGGGCTTGAGCTCCCTGTACCAGAGTCAGAGCTGGAGTCAGAAAATGAGCAGGATTGAGACCCAGACATCATTCCTGGGATTACCTATCTGGGGCCTGTTAGAATCTGGTCTCTAGGCCTGCCTCAGAATTGAGCTCAGAGGTCTTGTCTCAAAGGCTCTGGAGAATGGGAATCTTGGACTGGCTCCCAGGTAGGACCTGTGTGCACTTGGGTCTGGGATCCTCAAGGTAGAAGCAGAGGCAGGGTGGCACACCTGTGGAGCAGGTAGTTGAGTGCCCCCACAGCCTGGGACATCTTGCACTCCTCAGCTAAACCTGAGATGGCCATTCCAAAGCAGATGAAGGGAAATTTGGAAATCTAAAGATTTTAGATAAATGATCCAAAAATATGCCTCAGAGAATACTTTTGGTATATTTTAGAGCCATGATTAAAAAGCTTTATGGATTTATGTCAGTTTTGGAGGAAGGGATACACCATACTAAAAGCTTTATTCTGAAACTAGTTGGTCATAAACCAACTGTTAACCAAGGCCTGGGAGTGATGTGAATCATTTAAGGTTCCAAGTGGCGGATTTACAGCTGTCATTTTATTGTTTCAGATCATTTTAAGGAAATACCAAATCAGGGTACTGTAACATCTTTTAGGAAAGTAGCACTTCCCCCCTTCTGAATGAATAACTACAATAGCACGGATTTAACAACTCTAACCAGCATTTCCCTCACTACATTTTCAAAAACTGTTGATTTAGTGTGTTTGATTTAATATTTTTATATTAATAAGAGATAATCTAGGTTTTATAATGTTCATTTTTTGATAAAAATGATAAATTTTGGATCTAAGTATTCTGAGGTTACGAAAGCAATTTCTTGAATAACATCATACTTCTTAAAATGTTGAAATACATTATATCATCTATAGAGTTATGATCATAAAAGTGACAGTAACCTTGAAGAAGCTTTATCTTAACTATTTCTTAGTCCTCAATACAGATCATATGTAACTTATCCCTGATTGAAGAAAAGAAGTTAACAAATGTTTGGAGTGAAATCCACAAATTCTTTACCCAGAATAATACCATAAAGATATTCTTCCTCCTGTTTAACCAAATCCCTGAGGCTTATAGCAGAAAAACAAAACAAAACAAACAAACAAGCATAAAACCAAAAACCAAAATTAAACAGCTGGCCTTCATACTGATGATTCAATCGTTCCTCGTTATTTTTTCTCCATGTTAAATAATTCTACTTCTTTTGCTTTTCACTTAGGGTATATTTTGCAACTCATATTTTAAAATTTGGCATGATTCTTTTTTTTCTCTAACTTTCCTATGAGGATCCAGAATTGAAAGTCTCCAACTCGCAAATGGAATCTTTCCAAAAATTTATTTTAAAGTGAGTAACTTGCAACTTGGAAATATTTCTGCATGCAAATAATGTTTTAAATGGTGGTGAGTTTGCCAGGAGAGTTCACAAATACTGAGACACCCTGGATGTGTAATAAAAGATAACTGAAGAATGTCACTATGCATTAGGAATTAAAATAGAAAAGCAAGAGTAAAAAAGTGTTAAGGTTTATTTTTAATGTAAGAACTTCAGGGAACTCTGTCCCTGCTAGGATTTCATCTAACCAACTCAGTAGAATGTTGGTAAGTATAAAACAACTAGCTCTGTGGGAGATAAAAATCCTCCTTTGTAGTGTTTCCTATTCCAGTGGTGTAAATACTGATACCTTGTCTGATTTCAAGCTACCAACATGACATCACTAAACATGGAATTGAGAAGAGAGGTGTTCCAAACTCTGTGAGCTGCCTCCTGCAAATGATCTTCTATTCACTGACTCAGTCACCAATGCATCCTTCCTTTTATCTTAGGCTGTAAGCAAACACTTTAATATTTGCTTACTGCTATCTACCTCCTGAGGCTCTCTTCTACCTCTTCCCAACTTTGCAGATCCATAAAGCTCTGTACATCTTCTACCAAAATCTAGAAGGAACTACAGAGGAACAGCAACTGCGGTAGATGAAGCACAGGCTTATCCTGCAGCCTCAGGATCATTAAACATGTCCATGGCTGAATTCCATCCCAAAATGATCACTCTCATTAACTGCTTTTTAATTAGTCATTTAGTAAAGGAGGTAAGTGAATTTTATGGCATTCTGCTTCTAGAGACCTTGGGCACTATCCTCTGCATGCATCAAGATTCTGTATTTGGTGGACTCAGTCCTTTCAGGACAATCTGCATAGCATAGTTTGTTTAAACTTATTTCTAGTTGTTCTCCCAAGACCCTGCCATCCTTAAATGTAACCAGTTTCTCTCCTGGCTTTACACTGGCAAAATCTGCTTTCTCTCCCCCAAATGTACCACCCTGAATTTCCCTTCTGAATTTTTTATTCTGTTTGTTTGATGTTTCCTTCAGTTTAATATAATCATTTTGGACTAACAGTGCTGGGCCTGGGATGGGGTAGTACTCACCTCTACTAGGTCTGTTTCCCCAGGTGGATACATATCTATCGTAACCAATTTTCCACCATTCTCTCCAAAGACTCAGTCACTTCCAGGTCAGTTTCTATCTAATAAGTTTTAGTGTATGATGCTATACAATAGAGGAAACAATGCCCAAGAAAAATCTAAGTTTAGCTTGAATGGCATGTGCTGCCCTAGAGACACAAATATGAAGGATATTACTTTAAACACATCAATAAGCTACAACTTGACTGTGCAGGAGCCAGGGGGCTTTCCTGAGTGGAGTTTAAGAGCAACAGCACCGAACAACTTGACTCAGCTCTTAGACAGGATGATAGTTTGCATCTGGAGTTTCTAAGATCATGCTCCTGAAATAGTGTGAATACGTATTCGTGGCATAAATGGTGGTCGACAGGGTAGAATGCTTTTGGGAGAGCAAGGGGTTGAGGGCTTCACCATAGCAAACCTTGTCTGAGACATATAATCAAGGATTAATGTGCTACAAGTAGAGGCCGGGAACCAGAAGATGTGAGTTTTAACCCTGGCTTTGTCACCAACCAGCTCTGATCTTGTTCGAACTGTTTAATTGCTATGGACTTTATGTAACTCCCTTCTCTCTCTCTCTTCTTTCTAAATAAATAACTCTATTCTTATAAGACACCCTCTCTTGACCCCATACCTCACCCAACTTCCTGCCTTTTGATAAATGCTCCCTGTGGCCCTGAGCTGTTAGATTCG